CACTTGCATATGAACGATGACCAAATTTAGAGTCGAAGACATAAATTCCATCACAGTTGAAATGTAAAATAATAAACGTTGTAAGCAAAATGTGCACCTGCATTTAAGCAAGCTTTTCATTTTTAGATACAATTTCAGTCACAAGATTAAATCAAAGTTAGTTATATAAGCGTTGTAAGGTTGACATATTTTTTAAACGTATTTTTTAATACTTCGAACTCAGTTAAAAATATCTGATTTTTTTTATTTTTAAACGTTACTTTATTTTTAAATGAAAATTAGATTTTTAAACATTTTTACAAAAAGCGTATATTTTATTTAATCCGATTCTATTTATATATTTTATCTAGTTTATTATCAGTTCATATCAGTATTGGTAATCATCATGTTTTTTAGAGCTTTAGATAAGTTCTATATTGTTGAGGCGGATTCATTTTTTACAAACTTCTTTTTGGGTATTTCGCCTCAAACAGTCTTTAAAAAAGACAGAATTTCCTCACGTCTTTTATTACAGATTGATAAATAGTGCTCCTATTTCGCAATAAGAACGAATTATGTATCAAAAAGTAATCAAGAACTACCACCTAGAGGGTATCCTGCGACACACTTACGCTCAATCTGTAAGAAAAAATTCCAATTCGTAAAGAAATTAATTTGAAAAATTAGCTTGACGTTTTGATAGCTATTTTCTGCTATCGTTATCAAAAGAACCTAAATAAACCTAAAAAAGAGTATGTTAATAAACTGTGTAACAATAGTAGGATAATACAGTATATGAAAATTCGCTCTGATAATTCGTCTGTGCAAATTGTCAGTGATGTGACTTTGACTTAATCTCATTGTTTAAATTAATAAAGGTAATGTTGATTAATAATTTTGGTGTAAATTTAATTTGGGTGTATGTTTCTCTGGTCTACTTCAGATTTTAGCATAGGCAACCATGTATGACTTAAATTAAATGAACATGAAGCAACACAATTATTTTGATTTAGTAAAATTAGTGAGCTTTCTTTAATTTTACGTTTTTTTGTGGATTGTTCTTTTGTTAAAATTGTGGAATTATTCCATTGAATTTTACGGCAATTATGAAATGCATGTTGACAAATGTGTGATTTATGATATTCTCTGTTTTTTATGTATGATTGGTGTTCACGATTTGTGCAGCTATCAGCTAATCGATCGGGGAATTAATATGTCCAGAAGCCCGATTCTTCGAAACGATCAGCAATGGAGAAATTTACAGCAGTTAAACAGAGCGACTCATCATATGCATGTGTTGAAAAGAGAAGGTTAATAAGCGAACGATT